ATTCCTAAAAATCTTTTTTATCTTTTATTTTCTGTTTCTGAGAAAGAACTCGTAACGTATAAGATCATCATCATCATCATCATCATCATCATCAGGGACGTCCCGATCACGTAGTTTAGCCCCCAATCCGAGTCATTTAATACTGAGTCTGAGCTGATACGGAGTCCTGATCCAGTCTTTCCCTAGATAACGACTCACTGTGAGTCCAGCAGAGTCCAGCAGAGTCCAGCAGAGTCCTGGCGCTGAGCCTCGTGCAGCCTTCACCTGAGTCAACTCTCCGTTTCATTTTCTGTCCACAACAGATTTCTTCAAACCTTCTGCGTCACGTTCGATACGATATGGCGTAACGCGATATATCGAGTCACTGTATCGAGCAGCAATTAATTTCATTATGACTTAAACCGTTTCTGCAATGACTCAGTTAATCGTTTAATCTTTAAAACACGAGGACAGAGTGAAAACGTCTTCGCTGAGATAAGGGACGTCTCCCGCTGGAGGAGCTGCTCATGGAATGATTCACCTCCAGGATCAGAACAGCTGCTGATTAAGTATCTGCCCGTCTCTCCGTTTCACCGCCACTAAGCTTGTTTACAGTGTACAGAAACAGCTGACAGAGCCTCTGTACCTGCACACAGCTGCGCTCTCATCAAAACAGCCAATCAGGAGCCAGGATGTTACCTGGATGTGGTCTGTGCTGGAACACATCAGTCTCACAGAAAGCTGAATGATCAGAGGATGAGAGAAGCTAACTGATGTCTCTACATGGACACCTGGTCCCGGCCTCCCCCTGGACTCACCTGGACTCACCTGGGAGTCTCTGACCTCAGGAAGGACCGGTGTGTTATGGCTCCCTGCTTTGACCTTTGACCTGTGTTTCAGGGGAACTTCATCACAAACCCTGATGTTAAACGCTACTTGGCTAACTTCTGGATGCTAACGGCTAACAGCCACATTAGCATTAGCTGCTCGCTAACCTGAGCTAACGTTAGCTTCCTACCTGCTCCACGGTCGCCGGGTCCACGGACTGCAGCCGGGCCGCGTTCTCGTACTCGTCCTCGCTGTTGTTGCCGGCTCCTTCCTCCGTGTCCTGGCTGGACCCCGGTCCGGTCCCCCCGGGCTGGCCTCCGCCGGCCAGAGCCGCCACCACCCCGCCGGAGCAGGTGCCCGCCTGCCGCCGCCTCTTGCTCAGCCCGGGCCCGGAGCAGCAGCTGCCGATGCCTCCGCCGCAGCCGACGACGCCGGCCGACACCACGAGCTCCCCGCGGGACCCCGCCACCATCCCGCCGCTGCTGTCCCGCCCGTCGCCCGGTCCTACCGGGGACACGGAGCCGACGGGCGGCGGAGAGGCCTGCTGCGGCCGGGAGCTCGCCTCGATGCTCCGCCTGTCGTCCCTAGCGGAGGGCGGAGCGGGCTGGTAGGACCACGGCGGCGGGGACGCCCTCGGCCGGGCTCCGGTCCGCCCGGCGTGCGGGTGCTGGTGCGGGTCTGAGCCGCTCCGACGGTCGCTGTCATCGGCGTGGTCCGAGACGCCGACCCCGGAGCTGGGCTTCTTCTTCGGGAGAATCGTCATGGTGGTGTGTGAGGGAGGGAGGGAGGCAGGGAGGGGGTCAGAGGGTGACGAGTCCTCCCGTTCTGGATCAAATGCTGCGGTGTGTCGGCCCTCGGACCCGGTCCCGCGGCTCTGATCACCGAGCTAAGGCTCCTAACGAACCCAAACGGACCGCTGGAACCGCCGCTCGGCTCCTTTTCGACGGTTTGTTTGAACAAAAACAAAACGCGGCTCCTTCTTCCTCCAGCCCGTCACTCCACAAAACATCAACACACTCTGACGGGGCCGCGACGTCACTTCCTGGTTACGACGGCGTTTTTTACGTCAGGCCGTTTAACGACATGTCGGCAAACGTTTATGTTTAGAAATGTACACACACACACACACATATACATATACACATGTGTGTATATGTATATGTGTGTATATATACACACATGATACATGTGTGACACACATGTATCATGTGTGTCACACATGATACATGTGTGACACACATGTATCATGTGTGTGTATGTCTGTATACTATATATATATATAATTATAATTATAATTCAATTCAGATTAGCTTTATTGGCATGAATGTGTAACAACAATTTTGCCAAAGCATCATACAAACTACATAAGAACATTACAAATAAAAAATATATTAAAAATTAAAATAAAATGAATAAATAAAACTATATATATAATTATATATAAATTATATATACTAATCTGGATCAGGACCTGTTATATATATATAAAATTATATATAACTATTTAGGTTTGCAATCATTATAAAAGTATAAACAGTTATAACATAAAGCAAGTACACGAGCTGAGCACTGGGGGGATAAAAACTTTAAATAAAGCACAAGCTGTTACAACTTTATCTGCCTTTTGCATTTGAGGCCATGGAATTGATCAAATATTTGAACTGAATGTTTCTTATCTATTTATGACATTTGGCCATTATAATAAGAAGATTAATCTCGCACACACACGTGTTTCTCTACGCGTTATTCTTCTGGGAGACCAAACGAAACATTCTTTCAAAGAAAACAAAACTTTAAACAATATTTTCAGAATAAAGGTAAATAAGTTTTGCCAGAAATTCTTCACAAAGATGCCAAAACAGACGTTCAACAGTTTCTGGACGTCTAGCACAGAAAACACAGTTCACGTCGGTCTCTTTCCTAAATCTATTCTCAACATAGTTTTTAGCTGGATTAAATTCATTCAACAACAATATTGCCAAAGCTACAAATAAATTACACAAGAACAATTCATTTCATTTATATCTGTATATAAATCCGTACTATATCATCATTGCAGTATGACCTCACGCACGGTGCTGAATGAAACACAGGGCAACTTTTTGAGCAATGTTGCTGGGCAATCTTGCTGATGGCAAGTCCGACTATGTTTTGAAGGGATAGCGGTGGTGCAGGGAGGGTGGGGGAGGGGGATTACAGTAGTGATCTTTACTCATTACTATTGATAGTAACATTGCCCAGCACCATTGCTCTAAAAGTTGCTCCGTGTATTATCAGCTTTACAGACAGTTGACAGTTGATCAGCCTTGTTTGAGATTTTGACAACACACAGACTCCAAAAATCCCCCGATGTTCAACACTCTTTCTGTCTGCTTAGGTGTCAATAAAGTTTATTTTCAAAAATAAACTTTTTTATAATCTTTTAGGTCCATGTTTGCAGGACCTTTCTTATTTCACTAATATGACATTTTCTTGGTTGAGCTGAACTCTCTTCTTTCCATCTTTTAACTTATTTTTTATAAGTAATAGTTTTTTATTTAATACACTATTTAGTACACCCTGGACAGGTCGCCAGTCCATCGCAGGACACAGGCCACACATAGACGAACAACCACGCACGCTTGCACCTAAGGACAATTAACCTAGCCTGCATGTCTTTGGATGGTGGGAGGAAGCCGGAGAACCCGGAGAGAACATGCAAACTCCACACAGAAAGGCCGGGGCAACCGGGGTTTGAATCCACGACCTTCTTGCTATGAGGCAAGGTGTGCTAACCCACTAAAGTGCATTTTAGACCCAACGCAGGAGTATAAATGCGTGGCTGCCGCGTAGACACTACGCAGGAGTATAAATGCGTGGCTGCACACGTAGACACTACGCAGGAGTATAAATGCGTGGCTGCCACGTAGACACTACGCAGGAGTATAGATGCGTGGCTGCCACGTAGACACTAGGCAGGAGTATAAATGCGTGGCTGCCACGTAGTCACTACGCAGGAGTATAAATGCGTGGCTGCCACGTAGACCCGACGCAGGAGTATAAATGCGTGGCTGCACACGTAGACATTACGCAGGAGTATAGATGCGTGGCTGCCACGTAGACACTAGGCAGGAGTATAAATGCGTGGCTGCCACGTAGACACTAGGCAGGAGTATAAATGCGTGGCTGCCACGTAGACACTAGGCAGGAGTATAAATGCGTGGCTGCCACGTAGACCCGACACAGGAGTATAAATGCGTGGCTGCCACGTAGACACTAGGCAGGAGTATAAATGCGTGGCTGCCACGTAGACACTAGGCAGGAGTATAAATGCGTGGCTGCCGCGTAGACCCGACACAGGAGTATAGATGCGTGGCTGCCACGTCGACACTAGGCAGGAGTATAAATGCGTGGCTGCCACGTAGACCCGACGCAGGAGTATAAATGCGTGGCTGCCACGTAGACCCGACGCGGGAGTATAAATGTGTGGCTGCCACGTAGACACTAGGCAGGAGTATAAATGCGTGGCTGCCGCGTAGACCCGACACAGGAGTATAGATGCGTGGCTGCCACGTCGACACTAGGCAGGAGTATAAATGCGTGGCTGCCACGTAGACCCGACGCAGGAGTATAAATGCGTGGCTGCACACGTAGACATTACGCAGGAGTATAGATGCGTGGCTGCCACGTAGACACTACGCAGGAGTATAAATGCGTGGCTGCCACGTCGACACTACGCAGGAGTATAAATGCGTGGCTGCCACGTAGACACTACGCAGGAGTATAAATGCGCGGCTGCCACGTAGACACTACGCAGGAGTATAAATGCGTGGCTGCCACGTAGACCCGACGCAGGAGTATAAATGCGTGGCTGCCGCGTAGACCCGACGCAGGAGTATAAATGCGTGGCTGCCACGTAGACCCGACGCGGGAGTATAAATGTGTGGCTGCCACGTAGACACTACGCAGGAGTATAAATGCGTGGCTGCCACGTAGACACTACGCAGGAGTATAAATGCGTGGCTGCCACGTCGACACCACGCAGGAGTATAAATGCGTGGCTGCCACGTAGACACTACGCAGGAGTATAAATGCGCGGCTGCCACGTAGACACTACGCAGGAGTATAAATGCGTGGCTGCCGCGTAGACCCGACGCAGGAGTATAAATGCGTGGCTGCCACGTAGACCCGACGCGGGAGTATAAATGTGTGGCTGCCACGTAGACACTACGCAGGAGTATAAATGCGTGGCTGCCGCGTAGACACTACGCAGGAGTATAGATGCGTGGCTGCCACGTCGACACTAGGCAGGAGTATAAATGCGTGGCTGCCGCGTAGACACTACGCAGGAGTATAGATGCGTGGCTGCCACGTCGACACTAGGCAGGAGTATAAATGTGTGGCTGCCACGTAGACACTACGCAGGAGTATAAATGCGTGGCTGCCGCGTAGACACTACGCAGGAGTATAGATGCGTGGCTGCCACGTCGACACTAGGCAGGAGTATAAATGCGTGGCTGCCACGTCGACACTACGCAGGAGTATAAATGCGTGGCTGCCGCGTAGACCCGACACAGGAGTATAGATGCGTGGCTGCCACGTCGACACTAGGCAGGAGTATAAATGCGTGGCTGCCACGTAGACCCGACGCAGGAGTATAAATGCGTGGCTGCACACGTAGACATTACGCAGGAGTATAGATGCGTGGCTGCCACGTAGACACTACGCAGGAGTATAGATGCGTGGCTGCCACGTAGACCCGACGCAGGAGTATAAATGCGTGGCTGCCGCGTAGACCCGATACAGGAGTATAAATGCGTGGCTGCCACGTAGACCCGATGCGGGAGTATAAATGTGTGGCTGCCACGTAGACACTAGGCAGGAGTATAAATGCGTGGCTGCCGCGTAGACACTACGCAGGAGTATAGATGCGTGGCTGCCACGTCGACACTAGGCAGGAGTATAAATGCGTGGCTGCCGCGTAGACACTAGGCAGGAGTATAAATGCGTGGCTGCCACGTCGACACTAGGCAGGAGTATAAATGCGTGGCTGCCACGTCGACACTAGGCAGGAGTATAAATGCGTGGCTGCCACGTAGACCCGACGCAGGAGTATAAATGCGTGGCTGCACACGTAGACATTACGCAGGAGTATAAATGCGTGGCTGCCACGTAGACACTACGCAGGAGTATAAATGCGTGGTTGCCACGTCGACACTACGCAGGAGTATAAATGCGTGGCTGCCACGTAGACACTACGCAGGAGTATAAATGCGTGGCTGCCACGTAGACACTACGCAGGAGTATAAATGCGTGGCTGCCACGTCGACACTAGGCAGGAGTATAAATGCGTGGCTGCCGCGTAGACCCGACACAGGAGTATAGATGCGTGGCTGCCACGTCGACACTAGGCAGGAGTATAAATGCGTGGCTGCCACGTAGACCCGACGCAGGAGTATAAATGCGTGGCTGCACACGTAGACATTACGCAGGAGTATAAATGCGTGGCTGCCACGTAGACACTACGCAGGAGTATAAATGCGTGGCTGCCACGTCGACACTACGCAGGAGTATAAATGCGTGGCTGCCACGTAGACACTACGCAGGAGTATAAATGCGTGGCTGCCACGTAGACACTACGCAGGAGTATAAATGCGTGGCTGCACACGTAGACACTACGCAGGAGTATAAATGCGCGGCTGCCACGTAGACACTAGGCAGGAGTATAAATGCGCGGCTGCCACGTAGACACTACGCAGGAGTATAAATGCGTGGCTGCCACGTAGACCCGACGCAGGAGTATAAATGCGTGGCTGCACACGTAGACATTACGCAGGAGTATAGATGCGTGGCTGCCACGTAGACCCGACGCAGGAGTATAAATGCGTGGCTGCCGCGTAGACCCGACACAGGAGTATAAATGCGTGGCTGCCACGTAGACACTAGGCAGGAGTATAAATGCGTGGCTTCCACGTAGACCCGACACGGGAGTATAAATGTGTGGTTGCCACGTAGACACTAGGCAGGAGTATAAATGCGTGGCTGCCG